GCGTTCCCGGGCTGTCCGGATGCGCTGAGACGACGCCAGAGGCTGCCGGGAATCGTGACATCCCTCCCGGCAGAGCGGGCCCACAGCCCCGCACCCCGCGCCCCGAAGCCCCGCGGCGGACTCACCTGTGCAGAAGGTTCCTCGGACTCGCCCTGGGACAGGAGGCTGAGTCCTCCGCGAGCCGAAGCGCCGGGCCGCGGAGCCTCGGCCCCGGCCTCCTTGGAGTCCCCCATCACCTCGGTCCAAGGGAGACGAGGCGAGGCAGGACCCGCGCAGCCGCCACAGCGACGCCGCCGCACAGCAGAGAGCGCTCCAGGGACGCCCCTCACACCACACTTCCGGTCTCTCACAGGAAGGAGTTGCGGCGGCGCGTCCACGTCTCGCGAGCTTTGCGAGCTTTGCGCCCGAGGCCCGGCCCCGCCTCCCCCGGTGGCGGCCACCTTCGCGGCGGGGCGGGCGCTGTAGTGCGCCTGCGCCTGTCAGAGCCTCCGCGGAAGACCGCTTCTCGCGATAGCTGACTTCCAGGCTCCGCCCCTTGCCAACGGCTGGTCTTTGTTGACAAATAGTTCTTGGCGCTCGGCCTCAGTGCTCAGTCGGCGTCGCCGAGGTCCTCGCCGCGTGGGAGGGGGCGCGCTGCTGTCGGCGTAGCCCGCGGCTCCGAGCTAGACAGTGTGCAGTGTTAGCAGCCTCTCCCAGCCTCGTGCCTCCTCGAGTTACACGGGCTCGCGGAGACGCGCGCAGGTGGGGGGCGATCGGGTTCCAGTCGCCCCGCCTGCGCGTCCCGGTGCCGCATCACAATGCCCGCGTGGCCGCCGTCCCGAGGGTGGCCGCGGCGCCCAGCTGCGCAGAGGGCATCCGCCTTCCCTGAAGGCACGGGCGTCAGAGACGGAGGGTTCGCAGCGCAGTGACTCGCAGCACCGTTGGGGAGCCGCTGTGCGTCGGTCCCCGGGAGCTAGCCACGGGCGGTCCGGGCGGTCCAGGGCCTGCTCCAGCGCCGCGGTGCCTGAGACACCCGGGGGCGAGGCGACAGGCCGCTGAGGACGGGCCCGAGCGGCCGCGTGGCTTGCAGACCCCAGGAGAGGGGGCCAGGGCTGAGAGCAGGGCGGTGGAGCACTAGCCCGGGCCGCTTTACGGCTTTGCAGGTGCAGGGCGCGCTCAGCCTCGGGCTCCGCACCCGGTGTCATACCAAGGGTGGTAGAATGCAGCCACGTCCGTCATACAAATTCGCTTTCGCTTGCTTTTGCATAAAATATTGGAAGGTTTTTTTAAAATTAGTTTCTCTTGCAGTTATGTGGCTTTCTCCATTACATTAGGCCCTGGTAACTCACTATGTACATTCAGAAATCCTTGCGACTGAAGAAGCACCACCGACACAGTTTTCAAATGTAACAGAACATTTTTATGAATTATATCTAACAAGGAATTTGATACAACAGTACATTTTGTAGGAACGTCAACACGAGTTGGTTTTGATATCATTTTGTTGGCATTTTGTAGTCGATTCTTTTGGGGTTTTTTGCAAGTAATACATTGTTATAGTAAAACATTGAACACTACTTTGATATCTAACATTAGGAGGATGGTTAAGTCTATTTTTGGTCCATAATACCATTAACGTGTGCGACTAATGTTTTTCAGGAACATTTAAATTGTACATGATACGATGTTAAATGATTTTTAAAAGCAAATATGCAATATGATCCTAATTTTAAAAGCATGTCTATTGCTGTATTTATGTCCATAAACACATGAGTGGAAAGATGAAGTGGTTTAAAAGATATTCTTTAAAGTTTTCTTTATTTTCTTGTATTTTCTTTCTGATCATGCATTACAGGGAGACCTCATTTTATTGTGTGTAACTTTATTGTGCTTCACGGGTGTTGCGTTTTTTTACAAACTAAAGACAAACCCTCCACCAACACAAAAATGACCACTCACACTGCTCTTCTTGCTATTCGATATGGTGATCTTGAACAGAACCTGCCATATCTCCCAAGGTATGCCTGTATTTTATAGTAAAATATAATTTTTAAAAAATACATTTTTATTGATTTTAGAGAGGAAGAAAGGGAGAGAGATAGAAATATCAGTGATGAGAGAGAATCATTGATTGGCTGCCTCCTGCACGCCCCCTACTGGGGATCAAACTTTCAACCCAGGTATGTGCCCTGACTGGGAATGTAACCATGACCTCCTGGTTCAATATGACACATGATTTGCATATTAGCCTTTCATTATATAGGATTCTTTGTAAGAAGGGATTTCTGAGTTAGCAGTGATTCTTTGTTCAAATCATTTGAGAAGTCAGTGCCAGAGCGCTTGTTGATGGTGTTTAGTGAGAAATGTGCAGGAAACAGCCTGTGAAGAGGCGGAGAGTGAAATGGAGAGAGCCAGAAAGAGAGAGTTCAGCAGCAGGGAGGATCCTGGGAGCGGAGGGGGTTGTCAGGCTGGGGGGTCTGCGAAGGGGTGGGGTTTCCTGGAGCCACTCCCAGGGCTAGGGCAAGAGAGATTTAGGTAGTAAAGGAGGGTGATCCCTGAGGGCAGGAGAAGTTACATAAGTTCATTCATTCTTCTAGTTTTGAATGCTATTAATTTTTCTTTTCCCTATTCAAAAACTTTTATGTGCTGTGGGTTTTTTAAAAAGTTATCATTGTTCCTAATGTAAGTGATTGAAATAGAATGTGGGAAAACATGAATCATTACTTCCAGAATTTTGGATTTTAAGATGCTTATTTAGGCTCATTGTATTGTTCCAGCATCTCCCGTTCCCCTCCTTCCCCCCCCCCCCCCCCGCTCCCGCTCCCGACACCCCTCCGGATGCACTTCATCACCTGTGGCCTCTGCGCTGCAGGCGGTGATCCTGGTTCTTGTCGCCAGTCTGCACTCTCCCCTGTTTGCCTGCCTCCCCTGTGCCTGATGCTCTCACCACGTAAACATTGTTTGTTGAATAAATAAACTGCTTAGTTCGGCCGGTGTGGTTGAGTGGTTGAGTGTTAAAGTTCCATTCCCGGTCAGGGCACATGTCCGGGTTGTGAGCTTGATCCCCAGTGGTAGACGTGCAGGAGGCAGCCAATCAGTGATTCTCTCTCATCATTGATGTTTCTATCTCCCTCTCCCTTCCTCTCTGAAATCAATAAAAAGTATATTTTTGAAAAACCTGCTTATAGTTTTCTGCTGATGGAACAGGTTGTCTAGACATGTTTCGGGATGATCTCTCCTGACACCTCCTTCCTTTGTTTCCAAAACTTTATCCTGCACTTGTCACTCAGCAGGAAAACTGCCTGTTTGTATCTGCCTCCCTCTCCGACTGTGAGCTCCTCAAGGGAGAGCGCCCTGTCTGATCATCTGTTTTACCAACACCAGGCACAGCACTCGGTGTCAGCCCTTAGGCAAGGCAGGTAGAATAACTAGTGCCAACAGGCTTTCACAATGCTTATCAGAATGTTCGGGACATAAAGACAATGTTGTTGGCTCTGAAATATTTCTTGGCTCTGCAAATTCAAAGCCAAAGATGTTTAATGAAGTGTCTCCCAAATATATCAGTGTCAGTATCTTTCATGATTAAAGTTAGTATTACAGTTTGTTCCATTCTAAAATTTATAGGTTAGACTTTGATTACAAAAGTCCTCCCGGCCCGCAGGACAATTTCAGAGACATCCCAGTCAATTAAAAATGTACTTGGCTTCTCCTAGCACACAGTATTCAAAGCAAAATTAGACATCCTTTCAGAAACCTATATAGGTAGATAGTAATCTGTAAGACAGATGTGCCCAGGGCCCTGGGAGCTCCTAAACAGTCCCTCTCCCTGCTGCAGAGAGGGGAGCAATTCGACTGGGGCTGTGCCCTTCAGCTTGCCACAATCCCTTCCATGCCCTAGTATCTCACACCTGCCCAGCCTCACCTGTTTACTCTGCTTGTGGGACATCGAAAGGCCCCGAGTTCCCGGGTCCTGGTCCTGGACTTAGAGGTGAAAGAGAGATTAAAGCTAAATTGCAGCCCGGCTAGCGTGGCTCCGTGGTTGAGCATCAATTTATGAACCAGGAGGTCATGGTTTGATTCCCAGTCAGGACACATGTCTGGGTTGCAGGCTCGGATCCTCCGTGTGGGCCATGCAGGAGGCAGCCAATCAATGATTCTCTTTCATCGATGTTTCTATCCCTCTCTCCCTCTCCCTTCCTCTCTGAAATAAAATATGTATATATTTTAAAGTTAAATTGCAGACATAGGCCAGTGGAACATCAGTTTCTTTCAGAATCACCCGAGGACACCTCCAGACACCCCAAGCTTCTAAAGCAGTGTCTCTGGGTGTGGTCAGGAAATGTACATTTTTAGTGAGGTCACCTTGGGACAGTGATTGGCAAAGACATCTTCTCAGGTGCTGGAAGACCTGTAACTTCCTTTTCCTAAAACCCGAAAAGTGAGGGCAAAATTAAGCCTTGCTAAGACTTAACGTACACATCGGCCTTTCCTTGTGCCGTGGTCGGCTGGTGTATTAGTCGAGCGAGATTGAGTTATAGGCTGAAACAAACATCCCCCAGATGTCAGGGACCTCCAGCTAGGGTTGCCAGGCCAGATACAGGACGCTACATTAAATGGAAGCTTCAGATAAACTATGAAAAAAATGTTCAGGATAAGAATGTCCACAATTTTAGGTACAAGTATGTCGCAGGCGACATTTGAGGCATACTGTCACCCGTCCCCGTCGTCTTTGCTCTGGACCCGGGCTGATGAAGCAGCCTCGACTGGAGCAGCGCCACTTCTGATCAGAATTGACAAGCACCATGTCACACACATTTGTCCGAAATGAGCCACATGGTCACGCGCAGCATAGGTGTGACAGGCAAGACCAATGCACCCCCAGGAGGGGCACTGGTACCCCTGGACCATCATGGAGTTTACACAGCGTATGGGGGCTTCGATGGGCTATTGGATGCCATCACATGGTTACATGTGGGGACAAGGCCCTTCGGAGAATGTTTTCAGAGCTTTGTAATACGATGAGGGGAACCTCAAAACCTCACAGGCCATCTTGGGACCAAGCACTTAAAAGAGTTGCCAAGCTTTAAAAACGATTTCTAGATTTTCTTTTACAAAACATGCTCCACATGTTATCTCTTCTGGGATAAGTCGCTGTCATTAGGATGCTACTGAGTTTCACGAAAACAAACAGACTTACTCTGTTCCTTCAAGGTGAAGTTTTCACAACGAGTGAGAAAGTCATCAGTTTTCAAACCTATGCTCTGAAAAGAGCGTTTTTGAAAATAGATGTTTGGACATGT